GAAGCAGCTCGTTAAACTGTGTCCTGATATCATATTCAAATCTCCCATAATGATGGAGGAAAGTTCATATTAATCCCAGCGGGTCCTGGGGCTAAGTTGCCATTACATGATCTCAAACTTCCAAATACTCATTCTCTCCACAAAAACTTTGATGCAGCGAAATCTGAAATCTAAAATATGAATCTGAGCTCTGAATTTTGAAATCTGAATTCTGAATCCCGAAACCTCAATTTTGAGTTCTAAATTCTGAGATCTTTTTACAATTTCAAAGGGATATAAATGTGCACTGGAAAGTCTATTTGGGATAATTCTTCTTAGGATAATTCTTCTTATGAACCTAGGTAATTTCCAAGACAAAATTAGAACAATTATAACATTAAAATTAAAAAAATAATAACAATAACTTATAAGATCATGGACTATGCCTATGGTGCTAGAACTTCCTTAAAGTCCATAACTTTGCACTTAAGTATTTGTTTGGAATGGTTTTTCTAAAAGAATCTATATAACTTTTCAAGAGCTATGTGATATCATTAAAACAGCTACAACAATATAATTTAACATCTAAACCATAGCCTATAGATAATGAATCTAGAATTTCTAAAGCCAAGAACTTTACATCATTCCTAATTGAAACTATTTAGTTCCACGTCAATGCCCTGTTAAATTTTCTTCTTAAAAATATTAGTTCATCATGACCCAAGGGATCCACAAGACATAAGGAAAGACGGTAGAGGAGGTTTACATATTCTTCTTTTTCACAGCCATTCAAATTTAGCACAAGCTTAACATTCAACACCACCTACCCAGTATCAAAGGAACAGTACTAACAAACCAAAACCTCCTTTCTACTTGTAATAGAAAACTCAACATAAAAAGGAGATGTTAAGCTTGAAGAGGTTGATGTCCTTTCCCAAAACCTCTGCTAAAGTAAGAAGGATTCAAGGAACTTCTACCAACCATCTGCCTTCACTCCCTCTGAAAGAAAATTTATTCTCCTTAACTTCCCCTTGCAGTCTGTGGTTACTGAAAATTCCCCTCTAGTTCTTGCACAACATTACACACGGTCTCCCCAGATCCACCAAGCTAAGAACCCAATAACTTGAACTCTTTTTCCAAGAGAACCTGAAAGCCATTTGACTTCAATTCCAACTAGAGAGATAATCCTTGGTGACTCCTACTAACAGGAGGTCACACAACTTCTCAATCACCAAGAATCTCCTTGTGGAGACACTAGTATGATGAGGAAAATAGAGTATTAAAAATCAATCGAGCGCTTAGGGATGCTAAGGAAGGAAAGAGAGAGAAAAATACATTGTATCAAATTGATGTACTAGATAATAGTGTTTGTTAACTCTGACATTGTTTTTTGTTTGTTTAATGGTAAATTAGTCCTATTTTACTCTTCTCTCTTGGTTAGAAAATTCAGCAAAGGACTAAAATATCAGTATTGGCATATTAGGATTTAAATATTATAAGATAAGGGTACAAAAAACTGTATAAATAAATATTATATATATGTTACTATCAAAATTACTTGGGAACAATTTACTTACAATACTTAATTGACATTCATAAAGGGTACCTAATGAATTACAAGTGCAATACATTCTATTTAGTAAAAAAATAGATATTTCTTGCTCATTATCAGACAATCACTTGTTCACAACTTCGTTTAGGGCTAATAGTTTTTATTTCCAGTCTCATGGAAACACTTTCTTCTCCACTTAGTCCTATCCCCATCTAGGTGTATTTAGTTAATATTTAGCATTAATTTGATGCTATGTGAATATAAAGGAGCTAATTGCTTCAAACTAAAATGTTATGCAACAATCTGATACAAATGACAAAATACAAAAGGACTTTATGACAATACCCCTAATAATAAGCATCTCCAATCTAAACTAACAAAATGGTAAGATAGTCCATACATAACTAACTAAAAGAAACCAATAAGGAAACTCTAAAATAACTTTCCTACCCATCTAAAAGCAGCAAAGTTAGAAATATTTACCTGGTGAACATCATTGAAAGGTATATGAAATGTAGAATTTGAAAAGATATTGTACTCCTGTGGCTTCCCAGGATGCTTCCAATGAGAATTTGTGGATAGGTATACAGTGCCATTCCCCTTCAAGACAACGAAAACTTCTTCACAGGAGTGCCTATGGATCGGTGTGCGTGATCCGGGAGAAAATGTTTGAAGCCACACTTCAACCTGTAAAACTCTGGAAAGTCTATTATATGATACATTTAACATTGCTAAGTTGTCCATCATATAAACTCAAACTCAGCATTTGCTCATGGCCATGAAGGCTAAGTTAGTCAGTTTCTACCACAAGCATAAGTAGTTTTAAAACATTGATATCGTGGTACATAGTTACTAAACTACCAAAAGCTATCATATACAAAGATGATCAACAAATCGCACAGGAAATGAAACTCCTATATGGCATTCCAATTTAAAATATCCAAAACTTGTTGGGCCTTCGACAAGCATCTTAGTAGCGTAATATTTAAGGAACTAATCCAGTTCTTGGTTCATGTCAACAATCGTAAAGAGAGAATCACATTACAAAGTAAAATTTCAAATGGATAGTCTATTGCATACCTCTTTCATCCCATGCAACACTGAACCAGCAACAGTTATGTGGGATAGACCTTCTCTTCCATAATTATCCTGAGGAAGCTCACTGATATTCCTTACTAGTGGCAGGCCTATGTAAAATATCCATTGGCCCACCAGAAAAATTAAAAAAAGAAAAGAAACTTCAATTTCGGATATCCAAAATTTATTGGCTGAACAAAACTAATTTCAGAAAGAAACCAAAACAGAAGGAGAAACTTTGGTATATCGATCAGCATTTATAAGAGAAATACTTTACAAGTTAAAATCAACCACTTCTCAAAAAGCTTACAATGCTTTTAATAATTGATAAAAATATAAATTCTTTAGACAATTACATAGTGAATTATCCAGACCTAGAGAATTCATTTCAAAATAAAAGTTCATATCAAATTGAATAAGCACATTTTAAATTCTATCAATTTTGATACCACTAAAAATGGGTGAAAAAGGACTTCAGATTAAGAAGAGTTAGGTGCCCACTAAATGTGGTCATTTAATTGAATTCCATCAAAATATTCTGAAATATCAAATCAGTTAGACATGAATTCTACTTAAATGCTTTTCAAATACAATTAAGACTTCATTATTTACTACTTCAAAGAACACTTCATTATTTGTCCTCCATAGAACGCCATAAAGTGAAAATGAAATGAATGAAAATATCCCAAACCGGCAATCATACGAGTTACAGGCTTTCCATTTCATAGCCTATTGTCTATACATACAAACGACTGCCAAAAATATTTCCATGAAAAGCAGAGAAAGGAAAAGGAAACTTAGAGAGCAAAAGGACAACGATTCCGGATAAACTGCACGAATAAATCTAAAACTAGCCACTTAAGACATGGATTTTACCCTCAATTGAGCACTGAGAAGCTTCGAGAGTTTGGAGAAGCAAGAACAGACCAAGGAAGAAGAAAATGAAGGAAGCTCCGGCCATATCCTTTCCGCTTCAACCGATCGATAAGCGACCCTTCTCGGTGCCTCTGCTAGCTAATGGCCGGCTGCAGATCGGCCCAAGCCCTTACTGGACTGCTCGTCAAAATCGATATGGGCTTTATATACTAAAAATTTCAATGTTTAGATTTATATAAAAAAAAAATAATATAATTAAAAATTACTGTATTTTTCAATTAATATCATTTCGAGGATTATTTTTTAATTATTACATTTTATTAAAAAATTAT